TGAATAACCATCCTTATAATATGTAATATTCTTTGCACGTAAAATTAAAATTTATATGTTCTCGTGGTACAGACACCTAACAATATAACATTACGTAGTCATACATGGTAGTTTAAAATTCAAGCCCCCCCCCCCCCCTTGTAGGGGGGGGGGGCTTGAATTTTAAACTACCTGATGATGCTTCCATGTCAATATAACAAATGGCTTTGTTGTACTTGAGAAGATTTTTTAAAAAAAATTCCCATATATTCCTTTGTAAAAATTTGATCCCTCATTGTGGCTCCTCCCTATCCCAGGGGTCATCATTTGAACAAACTTGAATCTACACTACCTGAGGATGCTTCCATATCAATATGACTAAACATAGCTTTTCTGTTCTTCAGAAGAAGATATTTTCCTTTATATTTCTATGTAAAACTTTGATCCTCCATTGTGGCTCCGCCCTACCCCCGGGGGTCATGGTTTGAACAAACTTGAATCTACACTACCCGAGGATGCTTCCATATCAATATGACTAAACATAGCTTTTCTGTTCTTGAGAAGAAATATTTTTTCTATATGTTCTTATGTAAAACTTTCCTTCCCCCATTGGGCCCCACCCTACCCTTGGGGGTCATCATTTGAACAAAATTGAATCTACACTACCTGAGGATGCTTCCATATCAAAATGACTAATCATGGTTTGCAGTTCTTCAGAAGAAGATATTTTCCTTTATATTTCTATGCAAAACTTTGATCCTCCATTGTGGCCCCGCCCTATACCCCGGGGGGTCATGGTTTGAACAAACTTGAATCTACACTACCTGAGGATGCTTCCATATAAATATGACTCATCATGACTTTGCTGTTCTTGAGAAGAAGATTTTTAAAGATTTTTCCTATATATTTCTATGTAAAACTTTGATCCTCCATTGCGGCCCCGCCCTACTCCCGGGGGCCATGGTTTGATCAAATTTGAATCTACACTACCTGAGGATGCTTCCACATGAGTTTCATCTTCCCTAGCTTTGTGGTTCTTGAGAAGAAGATTTTGAAAAGATGCTATTAATTTTTCACTAATTCTTTATTATCTCCCTTTGAAAGAGGGTGTGGCCCTTCATTTGAACAAACTTGAATCCCCTTCACCCAAGGATACTTTGTGGCAAGTTTGGTTGAAATTGGCCCAGTGGTTCTTGAGAAGAAGTCGAAAATGTGAAAAGTTTACAGACGGACGGACGGACAGACAGACAGACAGACAGACGGACTACAGACAAAATGTGATCAGAAAAGCTCACTTGAGCCTTCGGCTCAGGTGAGCTAAAAATCTGGTAAAAATTCCCTTCCTTATAAAAACTTTTACTCTGTTTGCCTCAGATATGCCTAGGTGCGGAGAAGATTTTTAAAGAAATAATGCATTTTTACTACAGATTCACTATATTTTCAATAGAGCCCCCAACCCCAACCCCCACCCCCGAAACACCAGAGCTTCTGACCCTGGGACATATGTTTGCTCATCATAACTAATCACTTTGTTTATCTGTTTAACACTAAGGAGCAAACAGGATTATTTAATAGAATTAATGCATTTTCACTAAATTATCAAGAGCCCCACCCTCACACCAGCACATCTGACCCAGGGGTCATGAAATTCACTACTCTGGAAGAAGCACACTTGCTCATCATAACTATACACTTAGCTTCTTTGCTTTTTTAACCAGAAGAAGAAAAGAATATTTTCAAAGAAATTTTGCTTTTTCACTTTATAATCAATAAAAGCCCACTATAGGATCTATATAGCCCCGCTCTAGCACCAGAACTCCTGTCCCCGGGGCCATGAATTTCAAAATTTTGGAAGAGGCATCCTTGCTTATCATAACAATGTGCTTAGTTTGTTTAAATAATACCCAGGTGCAGAGAAAAAGATTTTTAAAGAATTAATACATTTTCACTTTATAATCAATAGAGCCCCCCCCCCCCCCCCCCCTTACACCAGAACCCCTGATCCAGGAGCCACAAATTTCAAAATTTTGAAAGAGGCATCCTTGATTATCATAACTATGTATTTAATGCGTTTCAATAATACCCCGGAGTAGAGAAGAAGATTTTCAAAGAATTAATGATTTTTCACTATATCGTCAATATCATCACCCACCCTAACACCAGAACCCCTGACCCAGGAGCCATGAAATTCACAATTTTGGAAGAGGCACTCTTGCTCATCATAACTATGTACTTAGTTACTGAATTTAATACCCAGGAGCAGAGAAGAAGATTTTCAAAGAATTAATGCATTTTCACTATATAATCAATAGAGTCCCGCCCTAACACGAGAACCCCTGACCCAGGGGCCATGAAATTCACAATTTTGGAAGAGGCACTCTTACTCATCATAACTATGTACTTACTTAGTTTATTTAATACCCAGGAGCAGAGAACAAGATTTTCAATGAATTAATGCATTTTTCACTATATAATCAATAGAGCCCCACCCTAACACCAGAACCCCTGCCCCTGGGGCTATGAATTTCACAATTTTGGAAGAGGCACTCTTACTCATCATAACTATATACTTAGTTTATTTGATACCCAAGAGCAGAGAAGAAGATTTCCAAAGAATTTATGCATTTTCACTATATAATCAATAGAGCCCCGCCCTAGCACCAGAACCCCTGCCCCTGGGGCCATGAATTTTACAATTTTCGAAGAGTCACTCTTACTCATCATAACTATATACTAAGTTAGTTTATTTAATACCCAGGAGCAAAGAAGAAGATTTTCAAAGAAATAATGCACTTTCACTATATGATCTATATAGCCCCGCCCTAGCACCAGAACCCCTGACCCTGGGGCCATGAATTTCACAATTTTGGTAGAGGACTCAATGCTTATTACAATGATGCCAACAGTTTGACTGCTTGATGTCCAGGAGTAAAGAAGAAGATTTTTAAAGATTGCATTCATTTTGGTGGTTTTAGCCCCACCCCTCAGGCCCCAGGGGGGCAGGGACCATGAAATTCACAATTTTTGTTCCCCTTCACCCATAGATGCTATATGCCAAATTTAGTTGAAATTGGTTGAGCGGTTTCAGAGAAGAAGCTAAAAATGTTCAAATGTTTACGCACATCGCACGACGCACGCCGACGGACAAAAATGGATAGCAATAGATCACCTGAGTGAGTCAGGTGACCTAAAAAATATGTTGCTTCCCAAAGTAAGGTATTGTCTTGAGAAATATGAATGCCCTAGCAGCAACCATTGAAAAGATATAGAAAAGGTTAAAGTTTTTCAAAAGCAAGTCAAACATTCAAGGTCAAATGGTCAAAATTAATGGTGCCCAAGGAAAGGCCTTCTCACAAGAAATACACATGTGTAGTATGAAAGCGGAAACACAAATCGTTCAAAAGTTATGGCCAAGGTTAAAGATTTTCAAGAGTAGGTCAAACTCCAAAGTCAAGGTCAACGGATTACAATTGTTGGTATCCAAAGGAAGGTTTTGTCACAATGATTACATATGTGAAATATGAAAGCCCTAGCACCCACCTTTCAAAAGTTATAGCCAAGGTTAGAGTTTTCTAAATTAGGTCAAACTCCAAGGTCAAGGTCAAAGGATCAAAGTTGTCAGTATCCAAAAGAAGGTCTTGTCACAAGGATTACATATGTGAAGTATAAAAGCCCTAGCACTAACTGTTCAAAAGTTATGGCAAAGGTTAAAGTTTTAGAAAAAGAGGTCAAACTCCAAGGTCAAGGATCAAAGTTGTTGGTATCCAAAGGAAGGTCTTGTCACAAGGATTACATATGTGAAGCATGAAAGCCCTATCACCAGCCGTTCAAAAGTTATGGCCAAAGTTAAAGTTCGGTAAAATTTTGCAAAAGTAGGTCACACTCCAAGGCCAAGTCAAATATGATGGTACCCTAAGAAAGGTCTTGTCACTAGGAATAAACATTCATAGTTTCAAACAATCAAAAGTTATGGTCAATGATAAAGTTTTTGCAGACAAACAGACAGACAGGGCAAAAACTACAGGGCAGATTCACATTAGAATTTACATTATTTAGCGCCAAACATCATGAGTAAATCTTCGCAACTTTTCTTTGGAATGTGTGTTCTATTGAATGGGTGTGAAAGCTTCAATGAAATTTTTTAAAGTATCTTCTTATAGCCTGATTTTTTACCTTTAGAATGTGTATATATCACATAATGTATATGTTTAAGTAACACTGAAGCAGTGAATTGGCTAAAGTTTTTCTTCATATTTTATTTTCCTCTTAACCCCAAAAGTGGACTATTCAAATAAGTTAAACATTCATGAAAAGACTGGAAAGTTTTGGAGCAAAACATGTCTCACTCTACAACGGTCAAGGAATCTGATGTCATTTATGTTTATTAAACAGTCTTTGAAAAAAAAGGTTTTTTTTCTTGTTTTTCTGGATTTCTATTCTTTTAATAGAAGACGATCGAGCCCAGCATGCAAAAGAAATATTTACCACATAATACTTACTATAAATATTTATTGCTTTAGTCAGGCAAGCTTCTTGAAAAGCTATACTTACATTTTGTGTACAACCGGTACATATCACATGTATGACACAACAACCCATCTAAAAATATATCGAGTGAGGACAACCTCCCATACAAATTTAATTGCTCCAGTCCCCACTAGCCATACAAAAAATGAAGTGCCGTCCAACCCTCCCATACATTTTTTCCTGTAATAGGCCTTAGCAATGCCATTCTTATTTTCTTTGTATATCTCATGACCCAAAGTGTTTTATTTATTTACTTGATATATTTTGCTAAGAAAGAAAATGTTGGTTATGTTAGAAAATGTTTAAGTATATCAATGGGGATATTGCGAGAAAATCTCAGAGAGCACTAGTGTGCAACGTAGGTCATTGACCTACTTATTTGAAAATGAAACCACAATCATAGGTCTACAATGTACAACAGGTTGTTTTTTTTCATTCTCGTCAGTGGAATTATTTTTCATCTAAGTTTATGTCATCCTTAAAGCTATACCTACTATATATTGTTACTGTTTGTTCATTGGTAGCTTGAGGTGTCCCATCATTGTAGCTAACTGCACATTTATACTTTCCACTGTCTGCCGGTGTTACTCCTTTTATAATAAGTCCTCCATTTCCATCATTCTGAAGTTTTCCACTATATCCTGTTCCCTCTACGAATGTTGACCCACCAAAGAGTCTGGCAATTGATATTGTGTCATTGACTGTCCATTCAACAGCTGATTGTGCTCCTGCATTATCAAAAACCCATGTCAAATTGGCATTTGTACTCTCACAGAATCCAGTCTCCAATGGAGTGTAAGTAAAGGCAGCATCTACAATTCATGAAATTGAAGACAGTTAAAAATACAGTATTTTTTTAATGACCTATTTTGGGCTTTTTTCCCCAAATGGTACTTCAAATTAGGGGTAAAAATTTTCACAAGTGCATGCAACTCTATTATGGCATAATGTCCTAGGAGATGCACATTAAGTTAAATTGTAAAATATAAACAAGAGGCCCAAGGGTCTTGAATCGCTCTTCAGATAAATTGTACAACCTATCATTTCTATTTGAAGCCTCTAGGTATCCTGTATATTTAAATCAAGCCTTGAAATTCCAAAAGTAGGTCATTATGACCTACATTTTGGTTAAAACACTCCAAGAACTAATGATGAATCAACTGACAAAAATTGATGATTCTAAGACAATCAGCATCTGAAATTTAAAAAAAAAATATCATCATATAATTCAAAACCTGACAAAGTTTGATGATTCTTTGATGATTCTAAGTAATTAGTACCTTAAGGTAGTATGAGTGTGAGATCAAAGTAATGGAAAACAAATGATTTTTAATTTGTATCAATGGATACATATATGTATAAACAATGCTTGATTATAAAATAAGTAAAAAGAATGCAGTCGTTTGCCATCTAGTGGCTGTCAAACTAAATGAGGAAACTCTGTAATTTTTTCCTTAAAAATATTAAAATAGTATGTGTATCAATTTAAATAAATAAGTCAAAGATGACATAAAATTTTAAAATATTTATTATAATATTAATATAATATAATAATTATTATTTATTATTAAAAAATATTTTTAAAATATTTATTTTTATTAAACATGTAACATCTGTTTTAAAATTTAAAACAATAAAAAAAATTATCACAAATTCTATACTTTACTCGAAGCGCCACCTATGATGTCTAATTTTTCACAGCAAAATACATAAATTGTGGATCTTTATCAAATTGTAAAGCACAGACAGAGTAATTGAAACAGAACAAGAGGCCCAGGGGCCACATCGCTCATCTGAGCACTCTGGCTAGGAAAAAGCAGAAATCAGTTCAGTCTTGAAAAGTTTTGATATAAAAGTGGTTCAATGGGGGGTGGGGGTGGGGGGGTGGGGGGGGGGGGGGGTCATTTGAACTTGAATCTATACTTCAAAGGGATGCTTTTGAATTAATATGACAAATAATGGTTATGCTGTTCTTAAAAAGACAATTTTTATTGATATATCATTTGTATTCCTTTGTATAACTATGATCCCCTGTTATGGCCCCCCTATTCTCCAGGGGGGGGGTCATGTTTTGAACAAAATTTGATTCTACATTACCCGAGGAAGCTTCCATTTAAATATGACAAATTATGGCTTTGCTGTTCTTGAGAAGAAGATTTGAAAAGGCTTTTTCCTATGTATTCCTATGTAAGACTCTGATTGCCCATCGTGGCCCCAACCTACCCCTGGGGAAAGGGGGGGGGTTATGACTGGAACAAACTTGAATCTTCACAACCTGAGAATGCACCCGTATAAAAATGACCAATCATGGCTTTGCTGTTCTCAAGAAGATTTTTACAAATTTTTCCTATGTATTATATGCAAAACTTTGATCGCCCATTCTGGCCCCACCCTACCCCTGGGGGTCATGATTGGAACAAACTTGAACCTACATTACTTGAGGATGCTTCCATATAAATATGACCAATCATGGCTTTGCTGTTCCTGAGAAGAAGATTTTTAAAGGCTTTTTCCTATGTATTCCCAAGTAAAACTTTGATCGCCCATGGTGGCCCCACCCTACACCTTTGGGTCATGATTTGAACAAACTTGAATCTTCACTACCTGAGGATGATTCCATATAAAAATGACCAATCATAGCTTTGCTGTTCTTGAGAAGAAGATTTTACAGATTTTTCCTATGTTTCTTATTTAAAACTTTGATCGCCCATTGTTGCCCCACCCTACCCCCAGAGGTCATGATTGGAACAAACATGAATCTACACTACCTGAGGATGCTTCCATATAAAAATGACCAATCATGGCTTTGTTTTTCTTGAGAAGAAGATTTTTACAAATTTTTCCTATATATTCCTATGTAAAACTTTGATTGCCCATTGTGGCCCCACCCTACCCCTGGGGGTCATGATTTGAACAAACTTGAATTTACGCTACCTGAGAATGCTTTCATATAAATATGACCAATCATGGCTTTGTTGTTCTTGAGAAGAAGAG